GATTTACAGAAATGTCCCTGTCTGTTTAGGCCTGTGTCGGTTTACGACCAGTGGTACACCGGTTTAGCAGTAGTTTAGGGAATTTACAGAAATGTCCCTCTCGGTTTAGGCCTGTTTCGGTCACCGGTTAGGACCCAGAACTCCGAACAAATTACAAAAATGACCCCGTCGGTGTTACAAACCGCTGAGAAACTGCAAGGACATTGCAAACACATATGGAACTGTTAGCAAACAAATCACAAGTTCGATTCCTGATGGAATCAGATAGACAAAATTCCTATCAACAATGTTAGGAGCAAGACAAACAGAACAAAACAAAAACACTTTTCAAAAGCGATCATATATGGATATAGAATACTATAGATTGTTTGTTATACACCTGTGATTGCATCGGATCGATATAGGTAAAGGTAGTAGTAAAAAAAAGGTGATGATGTATGGATAACATATAGATATAAATACATGTACTATTTATAGTATTATATTGTTTATTTAATACTATCTATAGTATTATATTGTTTATTTAATACATACCTGTGACTGCATCCCGCAGAAGTCGCAGACATAATACCCTAGCATGTCCTTAGACAAGCTAGAACCGCCGCATGACAGGCAAGCAAGGGGGGAAGCCATCTTTACGAAGCTTCAGGGAAACTTCACAGGAAGGTTCACAAGAAAGAAGGGCCCAGATTGTTGATTGGATTATTACACACGACCCTCCATTACTTTCCTCGGAGAATGTTCACAGGAACAAACGATCGATCCATCATCGCTCGCAACCTGTAACCACGAAAAAGACGGACGAAAAAGAAGATTAAAAAAAAAAGAAAAAAAAAAAAARAAGAAGAAGAATAGTGGAAACAGTGGCCAACTGCCTTTCGTACACGCTTCGAATGCTCGTCAATACAGAACAACGCATACTCATCTCAGCACACGCGCACATTCCCCGACGCGTTTCGATCGGTTGCACTCCGATCTTCCTCAGGGGGCTAACCACACACCTAGCCTTGCGGCCCCACCGATCATACCTTCCTTCAAAAAGAGAAAAAAAAAAAGAAAACAGAATTAGAAACCACACATACTGCAATACTAAGATGGTTTCTTCTCTTTTCTTTTTTCCCGCAAAATACCAGCTGATTAGCTTTCGGTCAGTTTTCCACACTTCCCTCCAAAAGCCTCCGTAGATTACTAGTAAGAAAAAAATTGTTCTTCTGGTATGTCTTTTTTTTTTTTTTTTTTTTTTATCGTCTAATACTTCCAATTTCGCATTTTCCTTTTAATTTGATATAATTACTCGCGCACGTTTTCTGAAAATGAGCCTTCTCCACTAACAGAACAAGAATGACGATCACGCTCAATGATTTTGAATTCTGAGGGGAAAAATAAAATAAAAATAAAAATAAAAAAGTTCAATGATAGCTTCTTCTGGAGAATATGGGGTTGTAGTGTACACCCCAAAAAAAAATATATATATATATTGTCACATTGTGAATCAGAGCGCAAAAAAGGGAAAAGAAAAAAGGAAAAGGAAAAAAGGGGAAGGGGAAGGAGGTAAGGAA